TCTCCAAGCCAGGAATAATATTAAGGCAGCCAATAAATACTTCGCAACGATGTAAAATTCTCTCTAATTAAACAACATTTCGACTCCTCGTATCTGTTTGGACTTTCTGAAATTTTCAGCATTTTGTTTTTTTAAGTCCCGAAATCGAAAGATCCCGGGGTATATTTTTGGCCCTGTCTGTCTGTTGTCAACTTTAGCCTAGCGCAATGGCATAACTATAATTGCACTGTCAAGACTAAGTTTATACCATTTCAGTCTAAGTCCCACTCCAGAATTGTGTTGCCTTCGAGGGCATTGTATTTCAAAAACACATCTTGTTCTTTCATGCAGTTCTGCAGCTTTAATCTTGGACTTTGCTAGCTGCAGAACTTAAGCTGTCGGAAAACTATTTTATAGACAGACGGATTTAGCCATTCTAATATTTCAGACCAACGATCAACAGATCTGCAGCTATAGGACCTTGCATGTTTGAACCAATCTTAAAACTCTCTGTATTATAAACGTATAGATATTGATAAAGTTCTCTGATGAAATTCCAGAATTTTATGTTTAAAAACTACAGGAAACCAATCTATTTATAATTGACTTTCGTAAACGTAAAAAAATATCGAAGCATAAAATATGGAGCACTAGTACTGAAAATGAAAAGACACCAGAGTAGTAGTATACATTGTATATCACTGAGGAGAGTGTTATAATTAAATTAAGTGTAAAGTAGCACAATATATACTCTTCTTATATACTGTACTTTAAAATTTATGAATATATTGTCCTTCCTGATATACTTATTTTTTTTAACAAATAAATTATCATTCAAAGGTTTTACGAGGGACAAGCATTGCATGGTCGATGCGTCAACAAGAGAAATAAATCTTGCAGTCTTTAAAAGTCGTTTTTCTTATCAAGGAATGATGTATAAAGAAATGGGAAAAAAGGGGGTGTAACCATAAAAGTAGCTTCCAAACAAACCAATATAATATTTTACCACAGTATAGTCATCGGTCGCGCATTTTAGTGACTACACGTAAATACATGTAGTTTTCTTTTGTGAAAATATAACGTGAGTGCATAAAAATTGTAACAATTCAAATTGGTTTCTCGATCTAAAAACCATCTGAGCCTATATTAGGCTATTATAAAATTCAACTGATTCTCGAGAGGGACGTTAAACAATATACATAACAATCAATCAACTGATTGGTTACATAAATAAGCGAAAAATGTGACTCAATATAACTCCCTCTTTCTCTCTCATGTGCAAAACTATTGAACATTTGCTTAACTTTCACCACATATAAAAACCCTGGATCTATGGACGTAGCTTCGTTTTAACGGGGGGGGGGGAAGAGGATGCAATTGACTTGATTTTTTTAAAGTAAAAAATAACAAGGAGGGGGGTAATTGTCCAAACTCGAAAATCTTACTTCGTGGGTGAATGGGAGGGAGGGTGTGTTACAACGCATTTTGAAAAATTACGCACTTTGAAAATTTTTTTTCAAAGCGCGTTAAATTTGGGACAAAAACAACGCACTTTGAAAAAATAATTTTTTTTTCAAAGTGCGTTAATATCGACCGTATTAACGCACTTTGAAAAAATGTGTATGGCTTGGTCAATATTCTTGCAAATCTTCGGTATGATAAATAATTGAACCTGTTTGATAACTCTTTGGTGATGAGGACACTTCAGGAAGTGAAAGTGGGCGATTTTGATTTTTCCATACTTTGAAAATTCTGTTTCTCTCAAATGTTTTTCTTAAGTTTTGCAGTTTGCATGCATTTTATGTAAACGAAAATTTATTGAAAGTTTTCAACGTCATACCAGTTATGCAAATACATATATTTGGGTGTAGCATAAGCATCGGTACCGGGAGGGGGGTCTTAGGAACTCAAATGTTTTGCAAAGATATATAGGCATTGAAAATCGGGACTTGCCTTTGATTGGGGGGGGGGTGTCCATTTTCAAGGGCTGAGAGACCTTCTACTCGCCCTCTCCCTGTTCCCAATGAGGTTAAATGAATACATGTAAATTAAATTGTTTTTCGAAAGATATAATTAATAAAAGTTGATTCTGTCAATTACTAAAAAAAACTATAGAGTTTTTTGTTTTATACATATTTTTTTCAAAATGCGTTATATGTCCAAGATAAAAAATGATTATTGTACACTCTTAACGCACTTTGATATATTTTTTCAAAGTGCGTTGAGTGTGTCCCAAATTTAACGCACTTTGAAAAAAATTTTCAAAGTGTTTTTTTTTATTTTTATTTTTATTTTTTTTTAATTTTTTTTTTTTTTGGTTATTTTTTTTTTTTTTATTTATTTTTTTTTTTATTTTTTTTGTTTTTGTTTTATTTTTTTTTTATTTTTTTTTTTTAGTACTTTTAAGACCTAAACATTTTAACCTAAGCTCCTGTACAGTCTGTAAATTCTTGTTTTTATTTTGAGTTTGTCTATCACTTCTAACTTTATTTTTTACAGCACTACATAGAATAGGTTTTACTAACTGTCTTTTCATCACTTTATTTCTTTTATTTTTAATTTTTATGTCTTTTATGAAACCACCTTCTCGGATGCTCCTTATACATAGGAGGGAACTCCATAACTGAACTGAACTGAAAAAAAAAGTGCGTTGATTTTGTCCCAATTTTAACGCACTTTGAAAATTTTTTTCAGAGTGCGTAATTTTTTCAAAGTGCGTTGCCACAAGGGTGCCAACTTTTTATCTTACATTACACAGGGACCTATATTTACTTACTTAGCATGATATCATAACCTAACGTTAGTACCGGTATAATCTTATAGGTACCTGATTCTAGTCTTACAGTGATAGTGCGCTTTTTTATATAAATAAGAAAGGCCCACAAGAAATGCCATGCCCATGGAATGTTGCTATTAGTTATCTGAACTATTTTTTAAAAAGTAATTTATGATGATGATACAGATTGGAAATCCCAATGGTATGAATCTGCCCGACACCCAATAAAATCGACAAAATGAACAAAGGTGAACTTTTGTTGATCCATATCTTATCAAAAATATTATAAATTTATTTTAAAAAAAATACACCCGATCTCATTTATTTAAATCTTTTTTATATATACATTTACCATGGATAAAAAGTTCACCGCAGAGAGAGGGAGAGAGAGAGAGAGAGAGAGAGAGAGAATCTATAAATAAATGTATCGACGACGAGAAGCACCTGCGAGATTTTTCGAGAGTTAACGAAAGTGACCAATCAAAATTTCCCTTCTATTTGTACATCGTCGTCGACACCAACAGGCTGTAGAAACAAATGTACAACCAAGACAAAACAAAATGTGTGCAGGTAAATTGTCTCTGGATAATGCATTTACCCAAAATAAACATTAAAATAATCGTCAAGAATCTTATCGATATCTTTTAAAACTCGTGCCATTGCAGAACAGGTGATTTTCACAGCGCAACAGCTCGTTACCGAGGACGCTAAAATACTTAATGCATAGGATAACACATGTATACATACCCTTTAAAGTTGTATTTGTGAATCGAAAATTGAAAATGAGTATGTGATTATGAGTACATATCTGTATACTGCAACGGAAAAAGGAAAATATTTTAGTGTGGAAGCATGTTTATTGGTATGTACTTCAACTTGGACTAGATCTGTAGATATCTGATAAAGGACAATTTTAAATTGTTCACACTTAATTTACACAGAAAGCCAATGAGACAGCAGCTGCTTTAGGCCTGCTATAGAGGCATTTTTTGGTTCGCGAGTTTTTGGTAGTTATCAGGTTATGTGAGACTCAAATATATTTTTATATTGCTTTACACCTGTAAGATTGGTGTCTTAATTACTGCTAATCATTAATATGAATTGAAGATAACCAGTAAGAGCATTCTCAGCCTTGATATAACTGTCTGATGTTTGTCTGATCATGATTCCATGAGTGATTAGAAGTCAAACTATCATGCAGCTGTTTCCATAAATAATTTATAAATTTCGTTATAGCTAGCTCAAACCTCAGGTATATGCCACATTGGTTGTAGTAATAATTGTGTTTATTGGATTACCATACAGGGTTAAAAACCATTGCAAAATATATTATATAGTTACATGTAATCTAAGCTACAAGCGGTATTATAAAATGGTGTCCTAGGACAAAAGCACCCCCTAGCTGCTACCCATAATGCCCATCCACAACTACCATTACACGCATAAATACACACCACCATGAGGGTTTTTGGATGTTTTTTTTTAAAAAAAGAAATTTCCTTCCTTAAATGATTTGAAGATGTGGAATTTTACTTTATGTTACTTAAGGTGAATTAGCCCAATAATGTTAACATGGTAAAGTCTGTAAATTTATTTTTAAAAAAATTAAGTTATCATGATACATGAAATGATTGAAACGAATATATTAAACGAATGAAATATAAATTAATGCTGATACTAAGACTAACTGTTAAACAATATGTAACTGGCAGATCAGAAATTTTGAGATGGAGAAGGTGATCTGACCAGTTTTTGGTCGGGGTAGTCACACACACACAAAAAAAAGATTTATAAACTCTTGTGTATATTTTGGACGCAAATTTTAGAGAGGGTCTCAGCCCTCCCCCTATCTAAATCTGCTAGTGTTGTAAGAAATTTCATTATTCAATACTGTATACAGTAAAATTTTTGCCCCCGTTTTATTTTCACCCCTTTTTGCCCTTGACACAAGTGGGAGAATATAAGATGGGGTGAAGTGAAAGAAAAAAGTATAATTTCTTATTAGCAAAACAGTGATTGGGCGAAATTAAAACATTAGGCAAGTGTGAATTTAAAGGGCGAAAATAACACGGGGCGAAAATAACCTTGTATTTTACAGTAATTTTTTTTCTATTTTTAGGTAACCTAATTCGCTGTCATGTGCTCTATAAACAAATTTAATTCAAAATTTACATTGTAGTGTTCGAAGATAACTTGATAGATGACCGTGAATTGTTCTATTTTTAGGTAACCTAACTCCCTGACAATGTCCTCTATGAATTCTGGGACCCCCCTCCCGGGGGAACAGACAGATGAGGCCCAGCTACAGGCTAAACTGGAGCGCATGGCCAGCACGTACTTCGAGAAATTCTCCACCCCCGCCTTCAGAATTCAAGAGTTGATTGGCTACCACAAAAACCACTGGCTGCTCTCCGATGACTTCAAAATGGCATATGATCAACCTGTGGGGATCATAAAAGGTTAATAGTTAACCGATTTTTGTGTGGTGTATCTGAATCAAAATGTATGCAAATTAAGAATTATAACAAAATGTACAGTTAAACTTTGGTATCTTAATACTCCAATGTCTCTAATACCATGGATATGTTGAAGTGATGTGGAAGTCCCAAATACATTCTTTATTAGTACATGTATTTTAGCCTCGGTATCTTGAATCCTCAGATATCTTGAAGTATATTTTCTCAGCCCCAGCAAGTTTGAGATAATATGAGATTTGACTGTAATAAGAATCCTCTAAATTAAGGTCAAGATCTAGTAAATAACTTTAGACTAGCTTTTTGGTGCTAGATCCATTATGACGTCATAATCAATTTCAACCATTTTTTTTCGCGTACTTTACGGCTTTAGCAGAATTATGTAGAAAATAGGGTATTTTCATGACATTCAATTTGAAATCATATGAAAAGTAAACCGGATACCTATATTAAATTTGATATTGATTTAAAGAAGAGGTCATTAACATACTAATTACCGTTTTCTGTGAGACTGTAGGCAATCTGGATACACATTTCCTTTGTCGAATATGAAAAAAAAACTCCCATATTCATGACTGGTTTTCTTAATTTTTCATTGAAAATGACAGCTTAAAATAGAGTTTTTCATCTTCTTTACTTACAAATTATGCCCCGAAACACCTTATTTGACCAAGCTTCAGTTGTAAAGCATCAATAAAGGAATTTATTTCTCAAATTTGATAAATCTGTAGGCACCTTTCATTTACTAGATCTTGACCTTAAGGAGTGTTTGATGAATAAATTTTGCTTAGGAATGACATAAAATCCTTTATATTTAGGACTGTAGGATGAATAAATCCCAATTTTTGGATCCCATAAGAATCCATTAATATATTAAAGAGTATTAGATGAATATATCCTTCTTTCAAGATAACATAAAATGCTTTATGTTTAAGAATGATGGATGAATAAATCCCACTTTTGTACGTATCACTTATGCAATATAAGAGGAACTGGAAAGGTTTGCTTATAAGTCCTAGACAACAAAGTTGATCCTAAATTTTGGATTTATCCTGTACTACATACTTAAGGGTTTTGTTCACTTAAAAGATCTGCATACAATGTACATTGTGTGATATTCTTTTCTTTCCCTTTTCCAAATCTAGGTCTGAATCCATTAAACTCCAATGTTTGTTGTCTGATGGTGCCAGAAGATCCCGTTTTGGAAGAAAATAAGATGAACCTGGATTATCGGGAGGTCCACCAGTTGATCCGAGAACTGACTTATGGGATATACGTGTTGAACCAGACTCCCAGCATATCGCTGGAGGCACTGTATGATCAAGGCACCATGTGTAACCTGCCTCCAGCATTTATGGATACACATATCGGTAAGTTATTGAAGAAAAGTTGAATTACTGTGTCTCCAACACTTATATCTCAAATACCATATGGAAGTTATCTGGAATTTAAATTCGAGGCCAAGCTTAAAAAATTCTTCGTTTGCAGTTGCCGACCTATAATTTTTAGACTGGGTAGGTAGGTAGGCAATGTTTTGTTTTTTTTTGGAAAAGAAAATGTTTTATGATTTTTTTTAGAAAACAAATGATCATGATGATAAAACTTCTTATAGGCCTACTAAACACAAATCAGCTCCACTCTTGCTATAAACCACCGATTGATAAAAACTAAAGTCAAAAATTGAAAATGAAACCGTTTCAATATCCTGAAAAACTGAAGAAAAAAAATAATATTACAAAATGGCTGAAAAAAAGTTTGGGTCGGGTGCATTTTCGGTGGGTCGGTCGGCAACTGCAAACAAACAAATTTTTAATTAGGCCCGATTACTCAATTACTGGATATTTTAATTACCATGGAATATTTTGAAGTGATTTGGGAGACCCAAGGCCAGCCACTTGTTCCTGAAGTATTTTACCCCAGTATCTCAAATGTTGAATCCAATAAAACAATCAAATTTTGCAAAAATGATTGATAATTTTTCTAAAAACATTTTGATAATGATCTTAGTAGAACAACATCATTTTACCAATGTGTAGCCATTGAAAGAAGAAGAGGGAATGCTGTCAAAAACAAACTGACATTGAACTCTGATTTTGCTTATTGTCAATGAGGGATGTTAACTACTCTAAGGCACCTGATTCCACCTCTGAAATTTCAGTGATCAGTGTTTTGTCCTGTTCGCAGAGATTTGCTTTGATTGAAGAGTTTTTAAGACTGATAGAATTTTCTTTTTTCAATACAGGTCAGCTGTTAATCAGTGTAGATTACATGATGAAGTCTTTGTGGCACGGAGCATACATTCCGAAGGAGAAGAGAACAAAATTCAATGATAAATGGAGAGAGCACTTCCAAGTCTCCAAACAGAACGGAAAACCGGAAAAAGAGAAATCTTTCTTACCAGATTTCATAAGTCATGGTAACTTAAAATTGATTCATATCATCATCTATCTCATTAATCAATGCACATAATTGATATAGGTTAAAAGGTTAAAAACTGAGAATACTTACTAATCATTAATGATAAAAACTCATGTGTTCCTCCCATCTTTATATTGATAATTCATGTTGTGAGGTCTGACCAAAAAAAATGTTGTATACTTTGTTTTAAGAAATTTTTTAGCATAATATTTGTTTGCAGGCATACCAGGGTAACTGTAATCATGTAATAAAAATTTTAACTGTGTTTCATGTAAGATATGCAATTAGAGTTATGTACTTACATTTAATACTTGGATCGTCCTGATATTTTGTGGGTAATGCCATGAAATGTGAAAAAAAATTTACTGCCACAGTTATATGTTTTTTAAGATTTATTAAATTTTGGATTGGAATATTTATTTCTATGTATTTTAAAACTTACGATGTTTTGTAGGGATGGTAGATATGGGTAAGGACCCGGATTACTGCGATGCCTATAATGACCTTCAGTTTGATAACGACAATGATCCGGACATGATAAAGGAACGGATTCATTTCATGAAACACATAGAGGACATCTCCATGCAGATGACATTGTATCAGAAAAAAGTGATGCACGAAAAGGATATTTACATGATGGATGCCGATATGACAATCACTAGCATCGTGCGACTTCTCGATGATCGAATAAATCATGACGATTACGAACGAGTGAATACGAGACTGCAAATGCATGAAAATATGCTGCGGGAAAATTTAACCAAGAAGTTAGAAATTCGACGGCAGCTTTATATTTTAAAAGTTGTGAGTTTTTTGACGCCATTCTTGATCGGAATGAGGAAGAGGATGAAGATTCCGGATATGTCACGATTTCTTCCAGATCTCTCAGGTATTAATCAGTATTGTTAAAGAGTAGATATATGTAGTGTAAACCATCTTTAAGTCATGTGCGTGAAATTTTCGAGAGGTTCAGAGGAGCTTCGTCGTCACGAATATCTCTCGCCTATAAATTTAAGTTGGTTTACAGTAATCTTATGTAGTAGAGTGAATGTGCAGGGTGGAGGGGGGGGGGGGGGAGGTGAATAAAATTTATAACTTAATTATAGTATTATACACAGAAATCCAGAATATCTCACAAGGCAAAATTTGACATACTATTAGATGTGCTTTTTTACTGGGTACGTTTTTAAAGGAATGAGATTAGGTGTTAATAAGTTTAGAAAAGACAATTTTAAAAATTAAAGCTTTTTTGAAAAAAAGAAAAACAAAGAATTTAGAAATATACTAGATATACAGTAAAACTCGTTTAGTACGAACATGGATATTACGAATTCACGGATATAGCAAAGTTATCTTGGATCCCCAGCTTTATACATTTAATGAATGTCTTATACGGATATAATGAATTACGGATATAGCGAACTACTTTCAGAGGTCCAGGTGACTTCGTTATAACCAAGTTTTACAGTACATGAACCCTTTGTACTGTGCCTATGTCCATACAACCCTATTCCAACCTGTTTTTGAAAACTTTCCAATATTTTGTTGAATTGAGAGAAATCTTGTTTGCTTTCCACTTAAACATGGTTTCACCTCAACTAACACGGATAAACTTTCATTTGAAGAATTCATTACATAGTTTTATTATTATAACATGACTGTTTAAATTCAAGCATGTAAAGCTTATATATATGTCCATGATTTAATTTTATAAACTATTTTGTGTATTGGTAACTTTCGGTGTTATATCTTCTATGAATACAATGGCTAAACATGCTAAAAATTGACATTTATTGATGAAGTTTTCAAAATGTCTATAGTTTGTTTTTATTTGGCCAGTCTCTCGAGTTTAAAACTTTGTCACGCATTTTCAAAGAATGTAAACACAATATTTATTTAATGAGGGGGAAATACATTACATCTGTTGACAAACGCTCTTTAAACGTGTATAAAGTTCTTTTAAACTCGTTGTTTATAGTTTAAATATCTAATCGCAACGGGTGATGACAGTTTTTTTTTATTGCGATCTACCATCAATATTGGACAAAGCAAAGATTTAAACAATTCGGTCACTAACAAGAGGGTGGATTTAAGGGTGTCAGATTTATGGCAAGATTTTAGATTGCAAATTTTATCCAACTAATCGTCAAGCATCAGTTAATTTGAATAGATTAAAAGTCCCGAGTTCATGACATTTTGATTCAGGAAGTCATCACATTGTTAAATTTTTTTTTCTGAAGTATTATGGTGATGATGGTATATATAGGGTCATATTTCAAGAATGTTTTCAGCATCTTGTTGAAAAACGCCATATAAATGCTGATTGAGCAAGGTGCAAATGTATGCAGTCATGTATGTTGATCAAGAAAGACTCAGAAAAAAAAGTTTGAGGTTAGATAACAACAAAATACAGCATCTTCTTCTTTTTTTGGGGGGTGGTGGGGACTATCCAAATGCGTTAACATTAACATGCAGCAATGTTTTGTAAGCTAATGTAAAAGATCATTTTAGTCAAATCATGAACTAGATGATTTGCCAGAATCTTATTATTTTAGTACACACAACTCAAAGATGTAAAAGTTTGAAAATGTTGCATGTAATATTGATAAGTCACAATGAAAATTACTTATATTATATTTGATGTGCTCAGCTTTATGCACTTTTTCCATTTGTTTGTAATACATGTAAATTCCCGTGGCAATCCTTTCTCAAAGATAATTTATGAAAGATAAAGTTCTTTTTTTTCAAAATTGATTTTGCTAATAATTTACAAAATTTTAACTTATTTTAGAAATAGATTCAGGTAAGACAGAATAAAAGAGGGAATAGACTGTTACAGTATAAATATATCATTCATGTATATATCCATTAATTGAAGGATACAGGTCTAGATTAATATCCATGTAAATGATAAATCATTAACAAAATGGTGCATTGAACATTCAAATAAAAGTTACAATATATTACTTGCTAGATTTTAGAACTGACAAAATTCCAACTTGGAGGTGTCAAGGTGCAAAACTCTCCTTAGATTTTATAGTCATGCAAAGAAAGAACTAGATTAACTTTTCATAAAATAGCCCTTATATTCATACACTGGTTCCAAATTTGATAAAGACCTTTGTTCCTTTATTTAAATGAAGAGACTTTAATGAAGCAATCAATTTTCATAACAAATTTCCTATATATCTATATATATGAGAGACTTGCAAGTATATTGTAGAATTTTGAAGGCACCGGGTGTATTTAAGTATCATAAGCAAAAACTTTTATTTTAAATTGTCATTTCTTAAATTTGGGATTTCATGAGTGTGTTGTGAAATTCGGAGTTTTGCACCTTGTATATTTCAGTCATAAACTTTTTGAAATATGCAATTTAGAAAATACTTAAAACATACAAATCTCTTCATTAATCAGTAGTTTAGTCATTTTTTTAATTTAAGAAATAGAATCTGTGGGCTAGAAAATAATTTTTGATGTTCTCATTTGATATGTTGTGCTAACTTTCTTATTTTAATTCATCAACATATTTATTATAATGAATATTATCAATTTTACTATGTAGAAGCTACATGTATATACAATACACTGTTAGAAATTAAGAAAAATTATTATTTTTGAAATCTGCATAATTATCATTATAATTTCTGCTCATCTTGCTTCATTTGTATAACATCAGTAAAATGATTTTTGTAGGAAATAGGCATTTTATATGTTTTAGTTGTAAACCCATTTATGTAAGAAGAAAATATTCAGAAGGTCATCTTTGCTACCATTCAAGCTTCTCTGATCTAGCGCTTCACTCTTCACATAAAGACATAGGGGTGGAAAAAAACACTTGCCAAATGGATAATAATGCTGATGAAAGATCTGATAATTATAGAATTTGTTAACAATATTTTTCCCCCCAATTTTTTTTTTTTTACAGAGGACCAGTGTAAAACAGAGGAGGAACTACCCCCTTTGATGCTCGGAGAGGACTTCAAGTGTAAAAACTTCTACCCCGAGAAAAACAAATACTTTCATCTTCATGGAGGTAAGTCATGTTTTCCCTTTTTCATGTCACTGAACTAAGTTCGGTTTATTTTTGGGGGGGGGGGTTGTCTTAAATTTAAAGGGGGACGTATTCTAAGACTGTCACTAGTACTATTTCTGGGGTGGGGGTTATTCTTTAATGTAAACAGTATTCTAGAACTATTGGGCATTTGATTGGTTGCTGTGTAAAGAATGAGAGGAATTAGTTACATAATATGATGCTCTTCAGTAAATTGACCAGTTTTTCTCTTACTTGAAATTTTTCTAATTTTCAAAAGACACTTGTCAAAGGTCATGTCTTTTGGGGATTTAAACATGTTAAAAAGTCAAGGATTAAACTGCCATGCATTGGTTGCATGAAATTATTGTATTTCAGGAACTTGCAAGAGAACTGTAAAAAAACTGGCAACATATTGCACATAATGGATATGCATGAACATTGAACCTTTCTTTTAAAAGGGACTTAAATATGATTTCACATACTTAAAGAGAAGAATTTTTTAAAAGTGTATAACCATAGAATCATGCAGTCTCAATACCACTACAAATATGTTGACAATATACATTGGATTTTCACAGGCATCAACATCGACTTTGAGACGGACGACCTTGAATCTCCACCAAAAGAAGTTACTGACAAATACTCAGATATCATGACAAAAACAGAACAAGGTTTTATCAAGGTCATTTCCATGGATACCATTAAAGAGCATTACGAGGTCCCCAAGGTTGAAATAGACGGAAAACAGTAAGTATGATATAACTTTAGTTGTTAAATTACACACATTGATTATTATTGATTTTAAGGTAAAAATATTATTTTGAAGTTTAAAGAATTGCATAGCCAAAAAAAAATGTATTTGTTGTTTTAATAATTATAAATGTTGCAATTAAAGATGCAGTCCTCTCCCTTGTTTTTTATTGTGCATTTCATAGCTGGCTACTATATCAAATTTATATCAACAGAATTCTTTTAAGGAATTGAGTTTATTAATCAACACAACTTAGAGAACAAGATGCATTAATTGACAAATGAAATGTATTTCCTCACCTCCTGTTACAGGTACTACCTGATTTATATGGAGTTTGAGACCTTCTTTAACCCCCAGCAGCCGACGTGGATCAAGGCCTTTAACTCTAAGCTTACGGTGGACCTAGAGAGGAAGTACCTCCCCCTACAGGACACGCCCATGTGGGACGTGTTTATCAAAAACTTCGGCAAGAAAAAGACAGGGAAATTAAAGGTATCCCTTCTCATCGTCTTAAAAAGAAATTTAATTAGAATATACTGTGCATGTGCAATTTTTGGTAGTAAAATTATGTAAAAATCAGTGGCTAATATTAAGAGCAATGGTGAAGACTTAAAAAAATTAATTTCCAATAATAATTATTTTTCCTGTAGAAACCTATAAACAGCAATTCTATTGCTGAAGAAACTATGGAAGAGTTATCTCCCTTTAACACATTTTCAGTCCATATTGCCCATTTAATTAAAATTATACATTTAGATAATGGTTAATGCTTATTGTTTTGTTGGTCAATTTACTTTTCCCATGGAAACCCAACCAGCAAGTCTGTATCTGAAGAAACTATGTAAGAGTTATCTCCCTTTAACACACTTTCCTCCTACTTGAAAGTCCATTGCTTATTTAATTAAAATAAAAATATACCTAAGGAATGAATTAAATAGCAACCCAAGTTATACTGTATTATAACCTGGGTTGGGACAGTTTACGCTTTTTAAACTGTGAAGCGGTTTATAAAAACACATAAACTGCTCCAACCCAGGTTATACCAGTACAACTTGGGTTGCTATTTAATTCATTCCTTATGATTTAATTCTCAGTCATTAAGTATAGAAAACAAGACAATTTCTTCCTTAAGAATGCCTTCAAATTGTTCATATTTTAAACATAATGTCAAGCAGATTGATATGTTTTTGATATAAATCATTGTGACATATAGGCAATCCAGTTTATACAATTTATATTAAATTTTTTTCCAGTCAAATGATGCAATATAACCAAAATTAAATTATTGTTGATTTCATTGTTTTGTTGCAAAATATGAAGAATATACCTTAATATTTACTTTATACTTGATAGCAGAAAAAATTAAATAAAATCTATTCCTTTTTCTTTCTCCAGGCTCAGATGACGGGACCGCGTGCCGCGGCGATCAGGGGACTGGTCATTATTTTCGTACACATGTGCCGTAAAACTCTAGGTCAGCAGATGTCACGGTTGACTAAACAGGACGAGCATGGTCTGTCGCTCCTCCATCACGCCGCCATGAACAATCGACCTCAAATCATCGTCAGCTTGCTGCGGCAGACGGTGGATATTAATTCTCGACGAAATAACATTTTGTCAACAGGTAAAATTTGATTTCTTTGACTTTATGGGTTTTACGTAATTTTGTAAATTTATAGTGATAAAGATTTCTGATTTTACTGTTTAGTCTTTTCATATATGTTATATATTTTAAAAAATCTCTTTATTTCTTTTCATATGTGAAAAATTTTGAAATTCATTTGTTTTGAAATTTTATTTCAATTTTCAGTGAAAATGACTGGCCATTATTAATGTACATAAATTTTAATGTTTAATTTAAGCAAGGGATGAATTTGATTTATTTCCATTCTGTTATACATTCTGCATATTTTCTACTTCTGATTAAAAAAAAATAGTTTACCAGCTTTGATTTATCTTATAGCTAAAATTTCTATCTAAAAAGTCTTTTACTAGATAAATAAATTCAAGAAATAGTATGAAAAATGTGAGATTCATTTTAGCAATATCTTCCTTATAACATGCAGGCTCATGATTTCAATAATTTTAAAAGATTGACAGTACTATTCCAATTTTGATTACCTTTTTCACATAAATTGATGATGTTTTTCCCAAACAGGAGTTCAAAGTTCAGGCAGCAGAAAGGGAGACCCTAAACGCCCAGTTCTCCTAGATATTTGTAAAGTTTCATGTTTCTCCACCCAACCGATACTTTTAGAAAAATTTCTTCAATGTATTTTCTTTGAACATTTTTTTTCCATCTTTCTATTTTCTTTTGAATTTTTTTTATATCTACTTTTTATATTCTTTTTTTTTTTCATGCAAATCTAATGTGAATTCCTTGCAGTACATTGGCTGAGAAAGGAATCATTTTGTCAATGATTAACAATTAACTAATACTTAATTAACATATTCTGCGAGTTATTATGTGATCAATTTAAATGTTATCTCAAAGTTAATATGAATAAAATCTTAATTAAATTTAATAATTTTTAAATATATTTTTTTTTATGGATGGCTTAAAATTGTCTAAATTTATTTAGAAGATTTAAATAGTATATAATAACTATAAGAGAAATATGTTGATCATATGGTAACTTTTATCTTGCATATTTTCAAAATATGCAAAATAATTTCAAACATATTCAAGGCTTTGTTTTCTTTTTCAGAAACATACCATTTCCAAGTTTCTTGATGTCACTTTTTTTGGTAGCAATTCTCTCTGTTTTTCTGCACTTATTCTTTTTAAGCCCATCCCTAAAATAAATGTATGCCGTCCATCCAAACCAAGAAATTAGTGTTGTTGTGAGATGTAAAAAGCTTATAGTGTTCCCGAGTGCCAATTTTTAGACCAAGCTTGTTAATTAACAGCGTTATTTAAACTTTTTGTTTATATACACTGTAGTTATGCTGCATATTGTTAAAGTTGCAAAATCAATTTACACTTGCGCATATAGTGGCGACACATATATTTTCAAATTTGATTTTTTTATTCATGCGCCAGAATTATTAATTTTTTGAACTGTAAAAATTTAGTTGTTACAATTGATGTTAGGGAAGAAAATGAACCAGTTTTAATTTTATCAAAAATAGATATTATACATATGGACTTTTGTATTTTAGTGTAATATATATATCTTTCAACATTTATATGGGCAAAAATTCCTTTAAGTTCCTAAAACCTGGAGATCGAGTGGGATTACCGGTATACATTTTTTTTTTACAATTATTTTACTGTATTTAAAATATTTAATGATTTTTTTAACTCAGTTGTAAAGAGAGAATCCATGTACAAAGGTAAAAGAAAAAGCTAGTCTCAGTTTTAATATGCAGTTTGTCCACTTTTGAGACTGACAGATCAATTTCAATTCCACTGGATTTATTTTTTTGCAATTTCCCCACTTTTGTTCGCTCCACAAGTGAAGTTAAATTATGTTTTTTCTGAAGATGGTATGAATCCATTTTTGAAACTAATGCATGCATGGATTGCTCAACTAGATGTGATTAACAACTAGGGAAGTTAAATGAAAATGAAAAAGTTATTAATAGTTGTCCACAAATTAAAAAAAAAGAAAAATAAAATCTATATTTAGATCATTATGTATAACAGAAATCATTAATAACATGGTGTTTGTTCAAGTGATACTCCATTATCTTTGCATGGACTAATGCTTAAGAAAGCAAGTATCACAGATTATATACTAGACAGGCAGAAAGGCAGGCAGAAAGACAACTAGACAGAGGGACCGCTAGACAGACAGCTAGATGAAAGACAGACAGACTAAAACTATTACTACAAGCATGTACTGTTTACATGTATAATTATTTAATGCAGCTAGGAATTTTTTTCACTGCTGCAGACAAGCCCGCATTTTATGCATGAGCATTATTTAGGGTTTACTCGTACGTTTGAATGTCATGAAATTAAAAACTTGGATTTGCAACATTTTGATGTTAATGTAAATAGTTATGTAGTAATATATAAAATTATAGTCACTTTCTTATTCTTAAATCAGGGGAAAGGGAAAGTAGCAGAAAAGCAACAGGTATTTTGTAATGTTCTCTTGTGTATCTTTGAGCATGCTCAAAAGGAACTCCCAGCATGCAATTCTCCATTTCAGCATGTACATGTCATACCTTTGAGATGAATACATATGTAACTGTGTATATATAAATTATATGTAATTATATATACTATGGATCTAAGCATGACGTCTTTTCCAGAAATGTGCATGCTAACTGAGTTATAGAAAATCCATCTTTTTTGATGACGATTTGTGATAAATATTTCATTTTTCCTGAGGAGCATGTTACATATATTTCCCTTGCATGCTCAACATGCATGATTTATCAAGAACTACATAATATTATTAAAACTGAAATTAATGAACAAACCCTTCTCTCTTTTGTGAAGGGAGGGTTGGCATTATAAAAGAATACATATAATTTTTGTCCTAAAAATTCTCAAGATGTTGCAGGAGTATGTTTTGAATCTGAAAAAAATATGTCTGTATTTAAAATGATAAGAAAATTTAAGGTAAATTACCTCTAAAAGACCTTGGCAAGTTTCCCAACCTATTATGACATTCCTCCAGGATTTTCTTTCATTTTCCTCTCCATCTTCAGTAGGAAAGGAACCAACAACACCATATACTTTCAATATGCCCCCTTCATGGAAAACCCAGTGGATATTGAACATCCACTGTATATATACCCAATTCTAAAAATTGATCTTATATGCCAATTGTTACAGCTCACTCCTCCTACAGTCGTGGGGGATACAATGGAGAAAATGAGGGGGATATATTCAGGGAAGAGGAAGAAAACAGAGCACAATATTTACCTGTAAAGATGGGACCAGGTCTGTTTTTTGTGAGGGCAATATTTACCTGTAAAGATGGGAGCACTGGTCTGTTATTGTGTGGGGGCAGTAATTACTTGTAAAGTTGGCATCAGGGCAATATTTACCTGTAAAGATGGGACTTTAAGGTCTATTTTTGTGTGGGGCAGTATTTACCTGTAAAGATGGGACAGGTATGTTTTTGTGTGGGACGGTATTTACCTTTAAAGATGGGACCAGGTCTGTTTTTGTGTAGGGGCAAAATTTACCGTAAAGATGGGACAAGGTCTGTTTTTGTGTGGGGCAGTATTTACGTGTAAAGATGGGACCAGGTCTGTTTTTGTGTGGGGGCAAAATTTACCTGTAAAGATTGGACCAGGTCTGTTTTTTTTGGGGGGGGGGCAATATTTACTGTAAAGATAAGTCCAGGTCTGTTTTTGTGTGAGGGCGATATTTACCCGTAAAGATGGGACCAGGTCTGTTTTGTGTGGGGGCAATATTTACCTGTAAAGATGGGACCAAGTCTGTTGTGTGTGGGGGCAATATTTACCAGTAAAGATAGGACCAGGTCTGTTTTTGTGTAGGGCAATATTTACCTGTAAAGATGGGACCACTCAGGTCTGTTTTTGTGTGGGGGTAATATTTACTGTAAAGATTGGGCCATGTCTGTTTTTGTGTGGGGGCAATATTCCTTTAAAAGATTGAGCCAGGTCTATTTTTGTGTGGGGGCAGTATTTACTGTTAAGATGGGACCAGGTCTGTTTTTGTGTGGGACAATATTTACCTGTAAAGATGGGACCATGTCCTGGTCTGTTTTTTGTGTGGGGGCAATATCTATCTGTAAAGATGGGACCACATCTGTTTTTGTGTGTGGCAATATTTACCTGTAAAGATGGGAACAGTTCTTTTTTTGTGTCGAGGCAATATATACCTGTAAAGATGGGACCAGGTCTGTTTTTTGTGTGGGGCAATATTTACCTGTAAAGATGGGACCAGGTCTGTTTTTGTGTACTGTAAAGATAAGACCAGGTCTATTTTTGTGTGAGGGCGATATTTACCTGTAAAGATGGGACCAGGTCTGTTTTGTGTGGGGGCAATATTTACCAGTAAAGATAGGACCAGGTCTGTTTGTGTGTAGGACAATATTTACCTGTAAAGATAGGACCAGGTCTGTTTTTGTGTAGGGCAATATTTACCTGTAAAGATGGGACCACTCAGGTCTGTTTTTGTGTGGGGGTAATATTTACTGTAAAGATTGGGCCATGTCTGTTTTTGTGTGGGGGCAATATTCCTCTAAAAGATTGAGCCAGGTCTATTTTTGTGTGGGGGCAGTATTTACTGTTAAGATGGGACCAGGTCTGTTTTTGTGTGGGACAATATTTACCTGTAAAGATGGGACCACATACTGGTCTGTTTTTTGTGTGGGGGCAATATTTATATCTGTAAAGATGGGACCATGTCTGTTTTTGTGTGTGGCAATATTTACCTGTAAAGATGGAAACAGGTCTTTTTTTTGTGTCTAGGCAATATATACCTGTAAAGATGGGACCAGGTCTGTTTTTTGTGTGGGGGCAATATTTACCTGTAAAGATGGGACCAGGTCTGCTTTTGTGTGTTTACAGCAAGAGATTTACAGGTGTGGATTATATACCATGTTTTTACTATTAATGTGGAAGAGAAAGTTAATTATACATGTGTCTCAATTTGGTATATACCTGATCCAGCTGCATGTATCTCTGGCTGCTTATGGTATCCTTGTATGCAGGTTGTGGTGATTTGTGAGATTTTGTGAATTCAATATTAGGTTTTGTTAAAATTTGGTAGTCTACAGCATAAATGCATGATCACAATTATCAAAAATTTTAAAAATAAAGTGCGCTAATTTTTTAATAGCTCACCTGAGCCGAAGGCTCAAGTGAGCTTTTCTGATCAAAATTTGTCCGTTGTCTGTCGTTGTTGTTGTCGTCGTCATCGTAAACTTTTCACATTTTCATCTTCTTCTCAAGAACCACTGGGCCAATTTCAACCAAACTTGCTACAAAGTATCCTTGGGTAAAGGGGAGTCAAGTTTGTTCAAATGAAGGGCCATGCCCTTTTCCAAGGGGAGATAATTATGAATTGGAGAAAAATTAATGGCATTTTAAAAAAAATCTTCTTCTCAAGAACCACTGGGCCAGGAAAGATGAAACTCATGTGGAATCATCCTCAGGTATTGTAGATTCAAGTTTGTTCAAATCATGACCCCCGGGGGTAGGGTGGGGCCAGAATGGCTGACCAAAGTTTTACATAGGAGTATATAGGAAAAATCTTTAAAAATCTTCTTCTCAAGAACCATTGAGACAGGAAAGATGAAACTCATGTGAAATAATCTTCAGGTAGTTTAAATTCAGATTTGTTCAAATTATGACCCCCGGGGGTTAGGGTGGGGCAAAAATGGCCAACCAAAGTTTTACGTAGGAATATATATAGGGAAAACTTTTAAAATCTTCTTTTCAAGTACTTCAAAGCCATGATTAGTGATATTTATATGAAATCATCCTCAGATAGTGTAGATTCTAGTTTGTTTAAATCATGACCCCCAGGGGGGTTAAAATTCAAGCCCCCCCCCCTCCCCTCATTCAACTTTCAGTTCTGATCAGATATGTGCTTTTTCCTAGCTGATGTGCTCAGGTGAGCGCTGTGGCCCCTGGGCCTCTTGTTAAGCAGTGCAGCTGATGAGGAATATTGCGCTTAATATTTAGATTTTTGAGTGCGCTGATATATATATATATATATATATATCAAATCTAAATATCAAATGAATGCTTAATTAGCATGGTCATTATGTTGAAAGAAACTAATTGATGAAGTGGTCTGAACTTCAATGCAGATTTATTTCAAATAATTATATTTCAAATGATGTACAGTTAAATCATATTATCTGTAACTTGATGAAGACCATGTAAAAGTGAGCTATATTCTGATCATTCAGAAATGAGGGTTATAGAATGCATAAAAAGAGTGGTTGGGACTGCCAATGCATTTCAACATATCCATGGTATTAGAGTTATTGATACTTGGGAGATTAAGTTTTAACTTTAATAAAATGAAAGCCTAGCCTAAGTAGCCTTAGGCTAAACCATGCCCTTAATACAATTAAACTTTAAAGTCAAATAGAATTTGTAACAATTAAGTTAAACAGTGATGTGTCCTAGGAGAGCATTTAGCAAAATCTTTGAAATTTGACGCTATTTGGCGAATAAATTTTGATATTTATAAATGATATGACACTGTGTAGCAATTTTTCTTATCCACGTTCTTTTGAACACTGCATGCAGATGGCGTGTCAACACCAGGGAATTATGGGAAATGCTTCAAACTTTTTGTGTGTTTGTAGTAACTAACACATCTAACGAAATAAGTGTTACTTTTAGCATAACAAGAAAGTAAGATTGAAAAAAAGGCATTGTAAAGAAAAGAGCCTTAATGCTTGTAATAACATTCTAATTGATATAATATAACATCATTTAAATGAAATTGACTTGCCTATATAGAAACATGTTCGCTTGAATAAAAGATACTAATTTTATAAGGCTAGCTAAGCATTCAATGTTGCAGAGCCAAGAGCAAAATTTACAGGAATTGTGTCTTTTCAGTAAATGGTTTATTCGGCATAAAAATATGAAAAAAAAAAATTCTTGGCTCTGCAATACTCTTTTGCTGCTTTCATCAATAAACCACTAAATGATTGGTATCAATGAGAAATGGAATCCTTTTAATGTCGAATGATGGAGTTATTTCTCCTTTTTAAGGTCCCACCAGCTTGCACATCGCCGCGAGATGTGGGGCCCTGGATGCCGCGGCCTGCCTGCTGGCCTGCTGTGCCGGACAGACATTGTACGATCAGGACGGCTGGGCACCCATCCACCACGCCTCTTTCTTCGACCATGAGGCCATCATCAAACTCATGGCAAGGAGGAATAGTCCAGTGATAGAACTCCTCACTAAAAACGAGTATGTTTGATCGCAAAGAAAGAACTTATATATACCTGATAATTAGAGCCAATTTGGCCTCATTTCAGAAATTTCTGAAAAAATTATAAAAGAATCAATGAAAAATCAAAATGATCTTTATCATCAAACTTATGGCAAGGAGGAATACTAGCTAGTCCAGTGATAGAACTCTGCACTAAAAATGAGTATGTATGAAAAAGAACTATACCTGATAAGAATGAATTTGGCCCTCTTTTCTGAAAACTTTGAATCAATGAAAAATCAAAATGATCTTTTTCATCAAACACATAGCCCAACGTGGTATACTTATATATAGCCCAGTTATAGAACTCTTCACTAAAAACGAGTATGTTTGTTAGCAGTGAAAGAACTATACCTGTTATAAGCCAATTTTGCCCTTGAGACTTTTCTGAAATTTCTGAAATTAAAGTTCAATGAAAAATCAAAAGGTCCTGGATCTTTTAATTATAAATGTTTGTACATGTACTTTATTTAACATATTAGTTTGAAATGTTTCTATATCCACCCTTCTTTTCCAGTGTAAGATCCACTCCTCTGTTGCTAGCTGCTGGTTCAGGGGGTCTGTCAGCCGTTAAGTGCTTGATCAAACTCGGAGCTGATATTTCTCGTGTGGATGGGGAGGGAAACGGTATGATCAATTTAGCGGCCATGAGGTTCCACACCAATGTGCTGGAATACCTTATTGAATGGGGCCACCAAAAGGCACCTGTCTGGACTATTCTTGTCAGTAAGTATGACAGTGCAATAAACGGGGGGGGGGGGGGGGGGGGGGGGGGGGAAGACATAAATTTTACAAAATTAAAGTAATATGCAAAGACCTTGGAGATGATAAAGTATCTTGCTTGTGTGTAAGTGAGAGGGTCAGTGAGTGAAGTATGCATAATGAAGGTGATAGTTTACATCTGGATTGATGTGGTCTTTTGTGAGGGGATGCTCTACTAAGTGATATGAAATAGATATGTACATGTATTATACTTTTTGACAGAGATGCTGTCTGATCCTGATACAGATAAGAAGGACAGTGCTGTCAAATGTCTGGAAGTTCTGTCTACGTCTAAACCCGAGCACTGGAAGTCTATACTGGAAGCAGGTAAATAGGATAGTGTGTACTGTCTAGACATTCTGTCTACATCTAAACCAGAGCATTGGAAGTCTATACTGGAAGGAGGTAAATATGGTAGTGTCTACTGTCTAGACATTCTGTGTCTACATCTAAAGACGAGCACTGGAAGTCTATACTGGAAGCAGGTAAATATGAAAGTGTCTACTGTCTAGACATTCTGTCTACTGCCTATACATTCTGTCTACATCTAAACCAGAGCACTGGAAGTCTATACTGGAAGCAGGTATATAGGATGGTGTCTACTGTCTAGACATTCTGTCTACGTCTAAACCTGAGCACTGGAAGTCTATTCTTGAAGCAGGTAAATATGATACTGTAGATTCCATATTTTTCTTGTGTTAACTTATTATCGCGATATGAATCATTAACGTCAAATTGCGAGAATATTTATTTGTGAAGTGCGGTTAATAAAGTGAATTTACATGGATTTTAGCACCATAAAAATAAAAGTGAGAAACAGAATTATGCGATAATAAATTCCTAGCATTTAATTAGGAATTTACAGTAGTGTCTACTGTCTACACATTCTGTCTTTGTCTAAACCCAAGCACTGGAAGTCTATACTGTAAGCAGGTAAATAGGATGGTGTCTACTGTCTAGACGTTATGTTTATGTCTTAATAGGAGCACTGGAAGTCTATACTGGAAGCAGGTTTAAATAATAATGTCTAGACATGCATGGATGTCTATACTGATAGCAGGTACATATGATAGAAGTATTTTTGGTTATCTGCATGTATTTCTAACACTTGAGGTCATGGGATCATGCAGATACAAACACCTAGGAGAAGGAATTTCTGGGACATTTTTTTTTATATCTTGATATAGATTTTGGGAAGTATTGTCAAAAACAAATCATTATCATGAACATGATGAAGAAGAGAAAACTTTTCAATATATTAATTTACTTTTTCAGGTGGTATCCCCGCGTTGGTTGGCTTACTACACTCAGACAATGAGGTCCTGCAGTCTGTCTCGGCCTCCGTCATTGTAAACATATCAGAGCACCAGGAGGTCCGAGAAGCCCTAACCAAAGCCAAAGCCGCTCCTATCCTAATCCAGCTCCTGAACTCCCCCGACGACAACATCCAGTCCCGCGTGGCCATAATTCTGTCAGACATTGCCAGTATCCAGGGAAACCAGTCTCTGATCGCAGAGGAGGGGGGAATTCCCCCGCTGATAAATCTGATGGACTCAGAGTTAGAGGAGGTTCTGATAAACACGGTGAATGCCGTCCGGGTGTTGTGTGCGGGAAATCCCATTAATCAGGACGCGGTGGCGGAAAATGGCGGGATTGCTTTTCTTAGAGAGTTTCTTACTCTAGATTCAGGTTAGAGTTGTGGCACCTTATTTTAGTATTGCCTTTTTTTTAAATGCAAGCTGTGAACAAATATTTTTGAGTGAGGTCATATTTAATTTTATTTTTGATTTTCCAGAGAAACTGAAGGCTGCCACTGCAGCTTGTATTGCAGCCATTTCAGCAGGAAACAAGAAAAATCAAGATGCTTTACTGGAAGCAGGGGGTTTAGAGTAAGATTGTGTTTTTAGGTCACCTGAGTAAACTCAGGTGACCTATTGCTATCACTTTTCGTCCGTCGTCGTTCGTCGTTCGTCGTGCGTCGTGCGTTAACATTTGAACATTTTCAGCTTCTTCTCTGAAACCACTGAACCAATTTCAACCAAATTTGGCATATAGTATCTATGGGTGAAGGGGAACAAAAATTGTGAATTTCATGGGCCCTGCCCCCCTGGGGCCTGGGGGGTGGGGCAAAAACCACTAAAATTAGTGCAATCTTTAAAAATCTTCTTCTTTACTCCTGGACATCAAGCAGTCAAACTGTTTGCATGATTGTAATCAGCATTGAGTCCTCTACCAAAATTGTGAAATTCATGGCCCCGGGGTCAGGGGTTCTGGTGTTAGGGTGGGGCTCTATAGATTATATAGTGAAAATACATAAATTCTATGAAAATCTTCTTCTCTGCTCCTAGGTATTAAATAAACTAACTAAGTGCATAGTTATGACGAGCAAGAGTGCCTCTACCGAAATTGTGAATTTTATGGCCCCAGGGTCAGGGGTTCTGGTGTTAGGGCGGGGCTCTATAGATTATATAGTGAAATTTCATGAATTCTTTGAAAATCTTCTTCTCTGCTCCTGGGTATTAAATAAACTAACTAAGTGCATAGTTATGATGAGCAAGAGTGCCTCTACCAAAATTGTGAATTTTATGGCCCCAGGGTCAGGGGTGCTGGTGTAAGGGGGGGGGGGCTCTATAGATTACATAGTGAAAATACTTGAATTCTTTGAAAATCTTCTTCTCTGCTCCTGGGTAATAAATAAACTAAATAAGTGCATAGTTATGATGAGCAAGAGTGTCTCTACCAAAATTGTGAATTCTATGGCCCCAGGGTGAGGGGTTCTGGTGTAAGGGGGGGGGAGGCTCTATAGATTATATAGTGAAATTACATGAATTCTTTGAAAATATTCTTCTCTGCTCCTGGGTATTGAATTAACTAACTAAGTGCTTTGTTATGATGAGCAAGAGTGGTTCTACCAAAATTGTGAATTCGATGGCCCCAGGGTCAGGGGTTCTGGTGTAGGGGGGGGGGCTCTTTAGATTATATAGTGAAAATACATGAATTCTTTGAAAATCTTCTTCTCTGCTTCTGGGTATTAAATAAACAAAATAAGTGCATAGTTATGATGAGCAAGAGTGCCTCTTCCAAAATTGTGAATTTTATGGCCCCAGGGTCAGGGATTCTAGTGATAGGGTGGGGCTTTATTGATTATACAATAAAAATACACTAAATCTTTGAAAGTTTTCTTCTCTGCTCCTTGGTATTAAGCAGATGAACTACCTATGTAGTTATGATGAGTAAGGGTCCTAATCTTCCAGAATTGTGAATTTCAAGGCCCCAGGGTCAGGGGTACCATAAAGGAGGGGGGGGGCTGTACTTATATATTGAAACTGGATGAATTGTTTGAAATCTGCTCCTTGGTATTTATCAAATATTTTTGAAAAGCAAGGGTGCCTTTTCAAAAATTGTGCAATGTGTGGATCTAGGCCTAAGGGTCAGGGGTTCATGTGTGATTGGGGCATTACTGATCATGCTGAATATTGCTGATTACTTGAAATGCATTTTTTGTTCCCCTACCCTGCCTATGGGTATTAAGTAAACAAACTAAGCAACTGCTAAGTGTATTGTTATGATGATCAATGGTGCCTATTTCAAAATTGTGAATGCCATAGCATCTGGATTAAAACATGAATCAAATTCAATCACTGGAAAGTTGTTGCATAATGCTCAGGTGACCTATAAGGCCCATGGGCCTCTTGTTCTTCTTCATTTTTCATCTTCAAATCTATGAAAGAAGATTGCATTGTTCAAAAAATTTATTGATTTAAAAGTTATGGTCACAAATAAAATGGATGGTTGGTTTATGATAGTAGACATACTTTTATCCATGAGGTCATAATTCCATGGAAACTCTATTTCTTTGCAATCCGCTGGTAGAAAATTTTGCTGATATCTTAAGACTCTCATTATATGCTTTATATGTGTATTATTTAAGGTTTGATGGGACAAATTTCTGTGGAAAGTTTGTGACCGTGTACATAGTGTAAATTTTAAAAAGAACTTATACTAACAGTATTCTTAGAAGACTGTGATTATATCCCATAGTTAACCAAAATGTATCAATTTACAGACCGCTGGTGGAGATAATTAATGGTACAACTAACGAGACTGTGAGGGTGAAGTGTGCTAATGCTATAGAGGCCCTAGCCCAGGACAACCCTGCCTGTCAACAGACGTTCCTACGGATCAAAGCCCCCACAGCTCTCAAAAAACTCCTCAAGGTAACAGACAGACCATAGAGTAGAGGGACTTGTTGTCACTATCTGTTTAATATGTAACAGGTGTAATGCAGATTTAAAATACATGTCTTTTGACTTTATTGTGTACTCTAGGACCAAAGATGCTTGTTTGTTGGTAGCTTATCTTATACAGTAAAACTTGGTTATAACATTAAAGTCACTGGGACCTATGAAATTACTTCACTATATCCATAATTAGTTATACAATGTATCCTTAAATTAAGGAATTCTTTAAATTTATATAGCTTGGGATCAAAGATAGCTTTGCTATATCCATGAATTTGCAATATCCCTATATAGACTAAACAAGTTTTACTGTATATTCTTGAATTGAGCAATGATTTTAATGTAGAATTTTAGTGTAGAAAGATTTTATATACATGAATTGATATATACCCTTTTATACCCTATATGCCCTTTTATTGCACTTTGGAATTAAAAAACCACATTGTAATTACTCAGTGGCATGAGTCTGTGAAGTAATGGGAGAATATGGTACCTGCTTGTACCTGGTTCCAATGAAAATTGCACAAATTAAAGTCAGTCAAAACTAATTCTGCTATGAAATTGCAGAATTTCAATGTATCAGTGAAGGAGCATGGTGCCAAGGCTTTATGGGCTTTAGCAGGAAACACCACAACTCAACAGAAATACATCGCAGAGAAAACCAGTATCCCAGACATCTGTAGTATGTTACTGGAGGATACCGAAAAATTGCTTCAAGTCGGTGAGTAGGTCAAAGGTCACACAGTGTAAAGTAGGACAAAAGTCATACAGAGGGCAAAGGTCACAAAGTGTAAAAAAAAAACAAAGGCCACACAATGTTAAAAGGACAAAGGTCACACAGTGTAAAGTAGGGCAAAGGTCACACAGTGTCAAGTAGAACATACGTCACACGGAATAAATTACAGTGTAAAGTAGGACAAATGTCACACAGTGTAAAGTAGGACAAAGGTCATTGTGTAACTCTCATATGTTTTATTTAAAGTCAGATACTATCACCAGTCAGTTTCAAGTCATAATCTGCATGCAGGATGCAAATTAGTCAGGTACAACTACTGTAGAAGCACAAATTTTCGTGGGGATAAAATTTCTTTGATTTGTTACGGTAACCTAGAATAGTTTCGTGGGCATTTAATTTCGTTGTTTAAAGTAACCCTAGTGTTCACTATATAGTCATATAAAATTTCATGAGGGATTTAATTTCATTGATAATTGTTAACAACGAAGTAAACAAAATTTAATCCCCCACGAATATTTGTGCTTTTGCAGTATATAACTTGCTTAAGGTGAGAAAATAAACTAAGGCAAATTAAAATTTAGAAAGTTCATGTACCCTTACTACAAAAATAGGTGACAAGAAATCTAATATATTTATCCTCAATTGTAGGTTGTATGATGTCCATTGCTTTGGGAAGAGAGAATATAGAGAACCAGATAAAACTAGCTCAGACAGAGGCTTTTAATCAGTTGGTCCGTCTTCTGCGAACTCATAAAGACTCCCCGCAGGTCATACTCATGGTCATACAAGTGCTTGGAATTCTGTGTGTTGGTAAGTCCACAGAGTCTTTTAATATGAAATTTAAGCCTAAATCTTGTATCATTTCTATTCAGAATGAAGTATTAACACAATTGAGCCTCGATAAGGCATGTTTCTGTAACTGAGAAATTTCATCTAACTAGAAAATTTGCTTGTGAATAAATAATTGTATGCAGAATTATGAGGCCTGGCTATATAATTAAATAACATGGTCATTTACATTAAGTGTTATTACTTTGAATTGACTTTAAAAAATTCCAGTTTTACTCCAAGGTCCACATTGTTTTTGGTGCAATTCCTCTAAAATTACAATTATATCAGCAACACAAATACATATTATCATCAATTTTATAAAAGATAACTTGTTTTGCTAGGTGTGGCTTATTGCAACAACAAAGTGACCCAGAGGAAGATAGCAGAAGAGGGGGCGATCCCCACCCTAGTGACCTATCTAAACCAGCCTCCTTCTGAAGAAGTCCAAGTGGAGGTTGCCATAGCGCTAGGTTGTATCGTCCTTAGCAACACTCGTAACCAGGAATTACTGCAGGAGGAGCCAGGGTTTAACTTCGATGTTCTGCTGGATTTGTTAAAGTCAAAAAGTGAGGTAGGTGAAAAGTTAAGTAAGAGAAGTAGACATTGAGAAAAAAAAAATAGACTAGTGACCAATCATTCTTGGGTAAACTTGTACTCTGAAGGTCATTTTCTTTCAGTTGTACCTCCATGTAATGGGTTTATTATTTTTGTAACTGCAATTTTTACTTTCTTGACAAGCATTTTTAGATCACAAAACTTTTAAGTTCCCAATAAATCATGTTTCTCTCTCTATATACAGCTCTGTTATTTTCCTGTATTATTTCTGATTCAACCTTTTTTTTTTTTTGATAGGCAATAAGATTAAGGGCAGGAATGGCTCTGACGATTTTTGCCTTCAACAACACCCCTCAGCAGTATGCCATCAGGGAAGCCGGGGGCATCAAATACTCGGTGTTTGAGCCTTTCCTTAATTCCAGTATAGAGTATGATGTCTGCTATGCAGCTTTTCAGGTAGAAATCATAATCCAAATTATTCAGTTAACGAGTTTGGTAATAGAGATTTTGTACTTAAAAATAATTACTAAACTGCACATTTTAATGACTTTTTTCCTCATTTGGCTCAATAAAAAAATTATCTACAGACATAAATTCCTCATGGCTCCTGGTCATAAAACTTGGATGTGAGCTTATTTTTGATCTCGGACTCTCTTTCAATAAAGGAATTATAAATAGTGCTATATTGGGAGTGAAAACCAAGCTCATCCAAGTTTTATGCCCAAATAAGAGCCAGGTGATAAATCGAATTTAAATTTTGTAAAGTATTCATCATGATTTTCAGATTGTGGTGCTAGCGAGAGTAATAGTGGACCAAGACCAAGTGAACCTAACGGCCCGCGGGGTGACTCTGCTTGTGGAGAAACTCCACTCAAACGAGGACAACGTCATTGTTCTGGCTGCTAGTCTTCTCTCCAGTCTCGCCCACACACGCGCAGGAATTCCCGATGCCATGGTGACCTCGGGGGCTATTGATATCCTGGTCGATAAACTCTCCTCCCCCAATGACCAGGTCAGAAGTGCGTGTGCCGTGGCCCTGGGGTATTTAACCTTCAACAGGACCGCAGCCAGAATTCTGTTCAGTGCTTGTAGAAATACGCCAGGGTTGTATAAGAAACTGGAAGAGAACATTGGGAAAAATGCCAAAATTAGTCAGGAGTTTGTCCAGGACTTTAAACGTGCTAAGATTGTGGGCCTACCTTCCCAATGGTTAGTATGTATGCTAAAAATAAATACTGTCAGTTTAGTTATTTGATGAACAATAATTGACTTTCAGATTTCAAAAGGGAGATAACTATGCAAAAAAAAAAATAGTTTTATTTTTTTAATAATTATTATCAAAATTGTATGCATAAATATTACATGATAACATCACATTTTAAACAATAAACAGACCTCAAATTTTATAATTAATTATTAAAAACAAAAATGTTCATCATTGAAGTTGTTGAGGCCACTTGCTCAAATTAAGGTCAAGGTCATAGGGTCAAGATTATTGGTATAAGTTATAAAATAATCCTAAAATATTGTCAGTGCTGATTATCAATGAACTTTTTAAAGCTTGATTTTAAATGAGGCTCACATAAGGTGACTAATTATATTATCAAAATCATTTACTATACCTGTATCTAAATCTTGGAACAAACTCAGCTAGGATTTACTAGTATACTTGATATAACAGAGTGTGGTAGTTATTTGGAAAAAAAACTAACATATTTTCACTGGTCATATAAAATTGAAATATATATTTGCACGTCTAGTCACTAATTGGAATTTACATATTGCATCATTGATATATCTTTCATACATGTGTACATGTGATCATAACATTCTTTTGATTAACTATAATTTATTTTTCATCCCTTGTTGTACAAAATCTTTACATGTGTAACATGTGATGTCAGTTTGACCTCTGAACTTTGTTGTAGTCTTGAGATTAATGGTGGACCCCCAGTAATCCCCCCTAGTCGAAACAGTAAGTAACATTTATCTCCCTTTAATGGAGTTTGTTATTGTTAGGAAACATGTATAATGCAGTAGCAGCTGTCAGTTTCAGCTAAACAGAATAGTTGTGCTTATTCAATACATTAATTTACCTCTAAACCCACCTCGGATGTTTTGAGAGGTCCGTAATGGCTTTATTTTCAATCAGTAGATTTTTGCGTTTGATAACTGTTCATTATTCAGATATTGTACTCTACCACCTTCTTAATTTGCAGGTATGAGACCGATGACTGGCTCGATGAGCCGCGCTACGACAGCCCGAGCTACAAGTCGAGCCAAATCAGCCCCCGGGCAGCGCGGGAAAAGGTCGCCTAACCCCAGTATAGTTGTAAGTACCCCCGACAACAGTCGCCCCTCCACGGCTGCCACGGTCCGGATCCACCCCAGCTCTCTCTTCAGACCCGCCAGTGCCACCACCCCCAGCAGAAAAGGGGTGCGGTCCCCCGACCCCACATTTAAAACTCGTTTGTCTTCTTGGAAGGAGGAAATCTGAGTCTCAATATATCAACTAAGCTATTAACTGTGTTCTAAATAAATGCTGGAGGACAATTTTTTTACGATGATATTTCCAGATTTTAAAACCAGGCTGTAATATATGAGTGCAAGATACATTTCTTTTGATATTTCTGTAAAATTTATAAAATTTTGTTTTCAGATTTACTTTCTGTTCTATTTACAGAGTTTTAATGTTCAAGAGAAAAATTTGAAATTAAGTAAGCGAACAACAATGGCATAAAATTTGAAAACTAATCATTACTTTAAAAAAAGTCAAAAAGTCAATTTTTTCCCATTTTATATTTTTGAATTGGAGAAAAATTATTTGAAAAAAGCGGTATTCTACTGAAAAGGCAAATTTTATGCCATATATGAAATGAAATTATATGCCTTCATTTTTTTTTTTTTTTTTTGAGCCAGACACTTGAGTTTAATAAAAATTTTGCATGCACAATCTGGATTTTTGACACTTAATTTTGATATAAAATATTTTACCTTAATTATATTTAATGTTTTCAATTGTAAATTGAAGAATAAAAAGCTGCTAATTAAATTAAATTTATTTAACCAACAACAATTTTTTTAAAGAAAAACACATATCAGATTATAATTATACATTTTTTTTTTACAATTGTTCAATTTTATTTGCTGTACATAATTTGATTATGATTGCTAGCCCATTACACTTCTTTGGTTTGCTTATATCAGCATATTGCCGTTCACCATTGCTAAATGACTTGATCAACTTTGCTGCACATTTGTAAAGCTATAATAGTGTTCACTGCATTTTACATGTCATAAAACAAGATTAATGACAAGATATTGTCTTCATTAACTGTACCCATTTGTACCTTGAGAAATTTTTGTTGCACTGTTTGTAAGCATTTGTTGCATGTTGCTGAGATGTGAAAGTTGCATGTTGCTGCATTTGGCCTTGGACTTTGCTAGTGTTCATTATTCCAACAGAGATCAACAGCTGTTTTTGCTAATTAATTTTTTTACATGTATTTAATATGTGATCCAATAATGTCAAAATTGTTAACAGAATGGCATATCAGAATTTTTTTTAATAAAGAATTGTATTCCTGGATGTGGGTTGGGTGGGGGTTAGGGTGAGACATTTGTTGGACAAACATGTACTAGTATATTAATTTATTAAATTTACATGAATTTGGGTATAATTGTTGGATCCGTCCATGAAAAGTTTTTTTTGTTTACCTCAAAGTGATTAACCATTTCATTAAACGTGTAAATTCATATGTTTCACAAAATCAGCAAGTAATTATTTTTTACAATAAAAATCAGTATTTGATAAGAAAAAAAAAACACACCCAAAAAATCTTTTTAATATATTTTACCTTTATTAGAAATCTAAATCATATATGATGCATAGAACAATTTTTGAATCTGATAGTTGAACTTTATAGAAATTTGAGATTTTATTCATACTTCTGCACTTTTTAGCTTTCAAGATACATGTCAATCACTAAAAAAATGCAAGTTATAGATTATAGCTAGGCTAAAAATTTGGAGGAAAAAAACTGTCTCATTTAAATCTATGATATATTCTCTGAAATTTTGAAAGATCAAAGATAAAAATAGAAAGAAAAGAAAGTAGTTGTTAAATGACATTCCATGAAGGAAAAAAAATCAATAATGTTTAAAAAAAAAAATTTGTATAGGACTAATGAAAAAATACATTTGTCTGTATATATACATGTTTGCATGTGAAGTCATTTAGATATTATAGTATGTAAACATGAAATGAATTCTTTTATTTTAGAAACTTTAAAATTAACCTCCATGTATTTCTGATTCATTATTTCTATGTTTAATTTGTAAATTTTATAATTTTATGTCCATCAATTTTATTATAATAATGTTAATTTTGAATGATCTTCTAGCTATAATTATAGCTTTATGCCTTTTCATGAACTAGTCTGTAAAATATTTTTTGTTCTGTTCAGCTCATGCTGGGTTGTTTGTGATCTTACTGCATGTATATTTAAATTTGTTTACATTTTGTACATTTTATTTTGTTATCAGCTGTGATAAGTGCTTTTATATTCCCACTTTGTTTTATATCTTTGTAAGATAATTATTTTTCACTGTTACATATTAGTATTTACACTTTATACTTGAAAAAATAAATATGACTTTGTCAATTTTCAAAGTTTACTTTTTTTAAAAATTCAGTTACAGATCATTTATAATAAAGTAGAATATGATTGAAATATTGTGCCTTTTCTTTTTAATACTGAAGCATGGTGCTTGTGCCATAAGTACTTTAATTATGCATGAATAAAACTTGATTAGTGCTTGACTTTGACTTGGGGGAGGGGGGGATAAGGATGATTTCAAATTTCTATTAATATCTATATAATTATCAAAGAACAAGCTTTTTTCAAATTTTAAAACTTAAAAATTTCAAGATTTATTGAATAAATAAAAGAAAACTGATCTTCATTTCCAAATTTATTTTGTGACAATATTCATAATAATATATATTAACCTAATTGAAAAACAATTGTTTCGTACATCAATACAGCCAATTGGCAATCCAATAACATGAATAATGAATGTTTACAATACATGCCAAATAAGAGGTTAGATAGCATAATAAAGAATAACTTACAAACATGAAAGGCAGTGTAATTATAACATTAAAAAAAAGACTTGTCAAACTTTCACCATGTTCATAATTTTGAAGAAAAAGACATATGAATTTAAAAACATGTTAACTTTGAAGAAAGCACAATACATGTATGTATAACAGTTTTCATTGAACTACCATGATTACTATTGCCTAAGGAAGCAATAACTATTGACATATATGTACAAATATTACAAAGTTGTCAAACTTTCACATTCATGCAGGCAATATTTTGAAAATTAAACAAATGCTAAATGTTACACCAAAAACTTAATTTCGAAGCGAGCAACAAAATACTTTGATCTTTACATTGAGATACTATTGCCAAAAATATTGTGGCAATTCTGATACATTATATAAAACTCTGTATTGTGTTTCCACTAACAAGTTAATCCCATTCATAATGGTCAGGCAAACAAATAACAAACCTATCATTGCCTTTAATCATATACAAACACTTTGACTGAAAATTATCAGCATTTACAATAACTCTAGATTTAGCTTCCTTTACTATGGTGAGAAAAATAAGAATAAGCACCAGTTTCATCATCTGACATCAACACATTTTTCCATCTTTTCAAGCTTTTTACCAATAAGAATGCTGGCAGTTTTGATCAAACATTAATTTTTCAACCACCAACATGACCAAAATAACATTAATTTCTTTTTGTTTTAATCACATAATTGATGGATTTCTAGATTTACTTAACTACCCTTCACTCCTTAATTCTTGGCACATTATTTATAACTAGTCTGTATATTTCATCCATCTCCCAACCCTTTATAGTCGTCTTTATAAGTGATAATCTCGCTTGATAAAAATTATTTGTTAGATTGCTGAAAATTCACTTTAAGTGAGTTTATTGCCTGTAGAGACAACTATAAATGGTAGGGAGGTGGATAAAATACACTCATGGGCAACAGAATGTGTCTAGAATTAGGGAGTGAAAGGAAGTTAATTGACCGATGCTGGAAAGTGGAGAAATTCTCCCCAAAAGTGCGCAAAAATATTTTAATATTTTTGCATTACGGGATCTGTACACATAGCATTATGGTCAGAGACAAATACATGTATATATAAACCATAACGCAACAGATCTGCAGCTAGATTTCTAAGTACATGTCGTGTCACTTTCAGAATATATTAAATTGCCTTTCAGAAGAAATCTATCAAAAATACTACATATGGATTGTCTAACTCAACATTCAGAAAATTCTCGATTGCTACATGCTCAAAGATTTTCAAACATCCAAATACCATTTTCCCTATCCCAAAAAGTCTACTTATACCATTTTTAAATTAAATCAAAATTGTCAGTATTTTTGTCAGTTGATGAAATTATCGAAGTAAAAAAAGAAACCTCAGAATAGAATATGATCATTGTAAATACATACGAGTAAATATATTGCTTAAGATTTTTAAGGCACTGCTCTATAAATGTAAATATATTGCTGAAGATTTAAAAGGCACTGCTCTTAGGGACCAGGCAAAATTTATCATGTGCACAATGATTTGACCAGTACAAAGCAAAATCCTCATTTTGAAAAAGTACGTGTCCCATGGCTTTGGTATTTTAAAAAAAATCAGTCCCACGCTTTGGGATTTTCTGTATAAAAAAAGTTAATTGTTCCATGGTTACATCTTGGTGTTAGTGAGATAATGTGGAACAATTTTAAAAAAAACTAATTAAAAGAGTCTCTCAGACTACAGATATTTCAAACATCGAAAACAATGTTTTTTGTTTGTTCATTTTCATCTGTTGTAATATTTTCCATTAAAAGATTTATGTTGCCATTTGTATCTTCACTTCAGTTTTAAAGATTTGATTTTTTCCCCCCGAAATTTAAAAAAATAAAATGAATACTTCTCTTGGGTTAAGTAATGTTAGTCATTGAAAAAGGTTTGTGTCCCATGGGTACTTAATACTGAAAATGTCTTGGTACCATGGTTAAACTCATTGTCCCATATGCCCGTTTGTATCATCATTAGGATAAATTTTGCCTGGTCCCTTAAACACAGGTAAAAATGTTATCGTCTACTGGACATTTTCGGTTGGGTGAACTTCTACAGCTGTTAGCGACTATGGATAAAGACGTGTGGAAACCATGTTGTGTCAAAACGAAATAACTAATACAAACATGATAAACATGTAATATATTAGATCAAAATGGTTATTAGATACTTCGACATTTTTCAACAAAAAAAGTTAAAAACAAAAAAAAGTATTCCATATAGTATCATGTTACATCCGCACAAAATACCTAATGCCAAAACCGTAAAACTACTAGATGATAAAACATATTCTTTGTATATGAACCACAGTATTTCTGACCTCTTGAAAATACTATATATAATCTTGCAATTAGGTTATCAACATTGGCTCGGTCTAGTTCGAAAGAGAAATTTGGAGATCGGCTCAAAATAACCTGAATACATATAGTTATAAATCTTGGCATCAAACTGTGAATAAGAAGTTTGAAGTCGACTACATTCTCGAAATGAGGTTTTAAAAATTACAAGTAAAAAACTCGCTTGATGCTGAAAGCTGGAGTGAGCTTTACTCCGACAAATCATAATGAAATACTGGGAACGCATTCCACAAAGTTTTCAAGATGTTCGGAATGAATTGCTAATGATGTTAAATTTATGGTTTTATGAACGTAAAGGGGAGGGGGCATTTGAGGTATTTAATCATGTAATATATAATAAACTACAGAAAATAAAGCTACTTTACGATGTATCTGCCCCCCCCAAACAAGCACATCTGATGACCTTTTTTGGCTTGTGAAGGTACAGACACGTAGCAGCAGGGGACTTGGGGGAATTGCTCCCCCAATATTAAAAAAAAAATTAACTGTTGAAAATATTCATTGAACATTGACCGATTCCCCCCCCCCCCTCTTCCCCAATATTTGTTGCAGTATAGTTAAATAGGGTTATATTGCAGTTAAGGAATAAAATTTAGTAATGAAAGATATTGGAACCTATTTTACTTGTCAGTTTCTTCGAGCTAGTCGATTTTTTTCTGACTGTTCAACCCCCCTCCCAAACTTAAAAACTAAAAGATGCTACCTACCTGAGTTAATTTTCTTAATTATGGTCACGGAAAATGCTTGGTTGTGCCCTAAAACTGGAATAGTTCTCAAGGGTCTGGAATTCATGGACCAATTTTATTTTATTAACCCATCGTAATTTTATTTTTTTTATGAAGGCAAGGTTGTATGGTATGTAGTTCATGTTGAAAACCCATAGCGATGTTTGACGACATCCCATTCATGGTGTAAGAAACATTTTAAAATACTTGATATACTTTACTTCTAATATTTGTGCGCATAATGCGCTCCATACTGAAGATCCGTAGTCGCTATCTTTGTAAATTATGTTCACCCAACCGAAAATGTCCACTGCAACGTGGATTTTAAATTTGGGCTAGTCTCTACTTGCTTATGGATTAAAATATCGCCGACATTAAACCTTGATATTTGATAGTCATATGATCGAAATAGATCATGTAACACTGATTATCAATGTGGACAAAACGTTCTAAATCTATAAAACTATGATCTGGATATTTTCCTGATGGAACTACATTCCTAGAAACTGTAAGTATTTCAATAATTTATAAAGAAAATCATGGATTTATATATACGTGGCACACCTTTAAACCGGTGAAAAAAATCAAGAACGTACCGTCATTTTAAAGCAGTGTCTCAATAAGGTTCATTTAAGATGTTATTAAATAAAGGAGTATTAATTAAAAGTGAGAAGTGTTATTTATTGCATCACTCAAAACGTGCAAGTCAATTTTTATTTTATTCTTTTGAATTACCTAAAAATAAGTATTCTTGTCGTTCGATATGCTTTAGTAACCCTAGTAATTACTGTACAAACCCCATATAATGTCTAGTCTTCATTGTTCGTTTGAAACCATTGGCCGGGTATATTTTAGCCTTATCCACGATTAAATATCCCCATGAACAAATAATTTTGTCAATTACATAAAATTATATTTTAATAGTAGATTGAAAATATTATTACCTAATTTTTTAAACATATACTCTTAATTCGAACTAAATAAAAATACTTTACTGTAATTACACCGACTAAGGGGAGCGGACCCAGAATTTTCCATGATGAAAATGAAATTAAAAAGGCGGACTAGAGTGTATTTGTGGCAGCCTCAAGCAGTGCAGTACTATCAATATTAATTGCTTGAATGTCATATGAACCAAAGCAAAACAAACACAGATCTGTTTGATTACATGTACAATATATACAGTAAGTGAGAATGCTGTTATCAAAAAGTTAGCATCCCTTAACAGCAAACCAAATCCACCGTGTCTTGTAAATATATTAACTCTTATCACCCCAGATTGTATTTTTTTGTAAAACTGCTATTTTAATGAGCATATTTTGATAACATAACACCCCCTTTATTAGTATCAAGACATTATCAACCAAAATGATAACCCAAAGTATTAACTGTATTTTATTATAAAATGAAAGAACAAGATATATTTAGGAAACACTATGCGCCCAGCGGCAGCAAAATTCTAAAAAAAAAACTATTTTTATCATATATGTCACAGTCAAGGTTATTGACCTTGGTGTCATTTGAAGGAAATTGATTAGAAAGGTATGGATACCAAATATGAAGTCTCTATCTTTTGTGGTTTGAAAGTTATTTCAAAGGTACGATAAAACTATTTTTAGCATGAAATTCACAGTCAAAGTCACAAGGTCATTGAACTTGGTGTCATTTGAAAGAGATTAATTAGTGGAGTACGCATACTAAATATGCAGTCTCTATCTTCTATGGTTCGAAAGTTATGGCAGAGGTACGAAAAAACTATTTTTAGCATACAGGTCACAGTCAAGGTAACAAGGTCATTAACCTTGGTGTCATTTGAAAGAACTTAATTAGTGGAGTATGTACACCAAATATGAAGTCTCTATCTTTCATGGTAAAAAAGTTATGGCGAAGGTTAAAGTTTGCAGATAAAAATCTATTTTTAGCATAAAGGTCACAGTCAAGGTCACAAGGCCATTGACCTTGGTGTCATTTGAAAGAGCTTAATTAGTGGAGTATGCATACTAAATATGAAGTCTCTATCTTTCATGGTTCAAAAGTTATGGCGAAGGTTAAAGTTTGCAGACAAACAAACAAACAAACAGACAGACAGACAGGACAAAAACAATATACGCCCCGGATCTATCAATCCAGGTGCATAAAAAATGTCTGAAATAGAAAACATTTTTTAAAACCATATTAACTATTCTCCCTAGTTAAAAAATACATTCAAAGAAATTACTTTTCAAAATAATTGGACTGTTTTTATACTGTTGACTCGAATATGTTTTAGTCTTTCTAATTATTAGTATACATTCCAAATACTGTTGAAGTATCATGGTGCATTGCAAAGCAGTGTTTTGATATTTTATTGGTCTCATTAATCCATGAACAAACATTTTGTCTGCCAATCGATTTTATGTGAATCTTCTTTATATCGAGGGACCCATGAAATTACGCCCTCAAGAACCAGTACAATTTTGCTTACCTGTATTACTGTAAAGTAATTATTCTACTCTTTCGCACGAAACCTTGATAAATGTTTTGAATTTTATACATATGACCCGAATTTTTTCGTGAAAGCAACACTTTCAATAATAAATTTATATAAGCATTTCAAGAGGTAAATCCTAATTATAATAAATAAATGCATAAATAAATGCTTTGAAAAAATATCACTTAATAATATTAGTTAGTACAGTGTATGTTAGACATTAATTACAGTAACATCGATTGAATATTGAATTTTCCTTTCAGAGTGTTTTTAATCTGTAAAAAAACACCCCAAAGAATGTCTTCTGGACCAGACGCTGGTGACCGTTCCAGGTTTGCCAAACTGGGAATGGCAATAAACGAAGAATTAACCCAGGCCTGTAGAGATGTCTTAGAAATGGAGGTACCTCCGGGGCTTGTCTATAACAAAGTGAAATCGTCATCGGTTTATAAAAACATACGCCCCGAGCAAGAACTTCGTCTTATAGGTGCCAAAACAGATGGTTATAAACAATTTGATATTACATTGTTATATACACTGATAAGAAACATATGTACAAAGATTCCTCGTCCAACAAAAGGTTGGGGTGGAAACACGATGCCGGCAATAGGACAAATAACGACCGGTGATGACGTTGAGAGAATCAGATTGTTACGAAACAGCATGTTTGGACACATAAGCTCGGCTTCTACCTCAAAGACAGATTTTGATAACACGTGGTCAGTCATAACAGATATCTGCCAAAGATTGCAAACGTGCACAAAGAAAGACTACATTTCTGGTCTTAGTAACATTCAAAGACAGACCTTGGAAGAGGAAAACGAAACAACAGTCATAGAAAAACTTAGAGAAGATTATAAGAATAACCAATGTTTAATGGAAAAGATGTCTTTCTTGGAGCAGGATTTGTTAGAGTCGAAATTAAAATCGGAAAACAAAGGTTAATATTATGCCTACTGTTATTCAGATAAATACTATGTACGATATATGGCGGAAGTTTGTATTACAAGTTAACATAAATTTGATAATTGTATTTAAATTAAGATTGCAACAATATGTTTCAAAACTGAAATGAAAAGAAGTAAATGGAATACATTTAATTTTAAAAGATTTAAAGCTTTAACGAAAAATATAATTTTGATAATAACATTTCACATTTTTACACTTTATTTGAAATGACATATTTGTTACAGAAAATACACTGGTAAAAGACATTCTGCAGAATTGGCAAGAAGAAGACATTGCCTTCATTCCTACAAGAGCAAGTGAAGTGGTTGAGGAAAAGCTTAAAAGTCAGAACCTAATCGCGCTGGTTGGTAATTCTGGTTCCGGAAAATCTGCAATAATTCAACATATTGCTCTCAAGTATAAAGAGCGTGGATGGAATGTCATACCGGTGAATAAGGTGGAAGAAATAAAAACGATCTGTTCAAATGGAGTCTCAGAAACTCGGTTTTTGTTCGTTTTCAATGATCCTTTAGGTAAGGAATCTTTGGATGAAATTTCATATCATTCATGGAAAAGTTTTGAGGAAATGCTAGAGATGTGCTTGAAGAGAAATAAATTATTGATTTCATGTAGACGATGCGTCTTTTATGACAAGAGAGTCAAGGGTATCCTAGTGGATGAATCTACTGCAGTAGAAATTGACAACGAAGAAAATGGGCTCACGGTTGAAGAGAAAAGAGCAATTTTTTACCAGTATTCACAGAATATGAAATTAACCCAAAATATTGAAACTGAAATACTCAAAACAGATGCTTACTTTCCATTGCTTTGTAAGCTTTTTTCAAGGGAGGCAAACTACAAAGAAAAAGGAGTTGATTTCTTTAAAAATCCGTACAAATTTATTAAACGGGAAATTGAAATTTGGAAGAAAAACAGACAAAAAGAAATTTTGCTCTCTTATGTTGATTGTAGCTTTTAAAAACAACCTGAAAATAGATACCATTGTAAGAAGCGATATTTCCATGATGAAATATAAAGAAATTTTAGGAATGTGTGAGTTACAATAAAAGCACATATTTCAGTCATTCGCAGCACTCTAAATGAATTGAAAGTATCTTATGTTAAACGTGTCGGACATGGCTTCCAATTCCTTCATGACTTTGTTATGGAGATAACGACTCTAGTATTTGGTATTGATTGTCCACAAGGGACAATGCAGTACGCTGATAGTGGTTTTCTACGACGCGGAGTGAGGATAGAGGACGATACAGAAGAAGAAGATCGCGATCCCTTCACTGTTTACCTGCCTGAAGAGTACATTGGTGATCTTGTGGACAGGTTTATCATTGACATGCAAACAGAACGACTTATAGATGTTCTACTCAATCCATGTTTAAGGAAAGAGAGTGTCATAAAAACCTTTAAAGAAAAAGTTGATTCACTTGAAAAACTACTTGTCAGAATAAAATGGAAAATAGACAGATCGGAATTTCCAAACGCATTTGAAGGCGCTGGTTTGTCAAAAATTGTTTCCTTGATTGGAAAGATGAAATATGCCCCTTGGTCGGATTCATTATTTTTTGTCATAATGAGATTTCTTCATTTTTCTTGAAAGGTATCTCTGAAACGAAGTTGAAAGAATATCCTATATTTTCTGCATTGTGTGCAAATAGCGATTTAAACCTAATAGATTATCTCAGCGAGGAATATAAAAAAGCATCAATAATGGAAATGTGGGGTAGTTATTTACCAATTCACATTGCTTCTGTATTCCATAATTTTTCAATAATTCAAGAATTAGTAAAGTTTGCTGCCAATGTCAACAAGTTTACAACTTATGGGAACTGGACTCCATTAATGTTAGCTGCTGCAAATGACGACGAACATTTGAGAGAGACTGGACTTCATACAAAAGAGGGAGAAGACGTAATAAAACCATTCTTTGCCTATTAAACAACGGTGCCGACATCAATCTGTGTAATAAGAATGGATCAAGCCCTCTTCTTGGAGCTTGTGAATTTGGGAATGATAGCACCGTACAACTGTTACTGAACAAAGGATCCGACATCAATTTAAGTAACAAGAATGGATTCAGTCCTCTTTATAAAGCTTGTCAAAATGGACATGCTAGTACGGCACAACTGTTACTGAGCAACGGTGCCGACATCAATTTATGTAACAATAATGGAGTCAGTCCTCTTTATATAGCTTGTCAAAATGGACATGATAGCACGGTACAACTGTTACTGAACAACGGTGCAGACATCAATTTATGTGAGAAGAATGGAGCCAGTCCTCTTTATAAAGCTTGTAAAAAAGGATATGATAGCATTGTTCAGTTCTTACTGAAAGGCGGGGCCGACATCAATTTATGTAACAATAATGGAGTCAGTCCTCTTTATATAGCTTGTAAAAAAGGATATGATAGCATTGTTCAATTGTTACTGAAAGGCGGGGCCGACATCAATTTATGTAACAAGAATAGAGTAAGCTCTCTTAATATTGCTTGTCAAATTGGACATGCTAGCACAGTACAACTGTTACTGAAAGGCGGGGCCGACATTAATTTATGTAACAAAGATGGAATAAGCCCTCTCAATATAGCTTGTCAAAATGGACATGACAGCACTGTAATACTTTTACTGAACAATGGTGCTTACATCAATTTATGTGATAATGATGGAACCAGTCCTCTTTTTATAGCTTGTTACAAAGAGCATGTTAACACGGTACAACTGTTACTAAAGAATGGTGCTTACATCAATTTATGTGATAATGATGGAACGAGTCCTCTTTTTATAGCTTGTTACAAAGAGCATGTTAACACGGTACAACTGTTACTGAACAACGGTGCTGACATCAATTTATGTGATTGTGATGGCTGCAGTCCCCTACATGCAGCTTCTCACAATGGATATGATAGCATTGTTCAATTGTTACTGAACAACGATGCCGAAATTAATTTATGTAACAAGAATGGAACCAGTCCTCTGTTTGTAGCTTGTCAGAATAAACATGATAGCACGGTACAACTGTTACTGAAAGGTGGGGCCGACATCAATGTATGTAACAAGTATGGAGCAAGTCCCTTTTATTTGGCTTGTTACAATGAGCATGATAGCATGGTACAATTATTACTAAATAAAGGTGCCGATATCAATTTACGTTGTGATAATGGACCCAGTCCCCTTTATTTAGCTTGTTATAATGGACATGATAGCCTGGTACAACAGCTAGTGAACAACGGTGCCAACCTTAATTTAAGTGATAATGATGGAGTCAGTCCTCTTTATATGGCTTGTCAAGGTGGACATGATGACAGAGTACAACTGTTACTGAGCAATGGTGCCGACATAAATTTATGTAATAATTATGGAGTCAATCCTCTCCACGTTGCTTGCTATTATGGACATATTAGCACGGTACAACTGTTGCTTAAAAACGGCGCAAATATCAGTTTGTGTGACAAAAGTGGAGCAAGCGCTTTGTGGATTGCTTGTCTAAATGAACATGATACCACTATACAACTGTTACTGGATAATGGCGCAGACATCAATTTAAGTGATAATAATGGAACTAGTCCTCTTTATATGTCTCGTCAAAAGGGATATGACAGCACGGTACAACTGTTACTTAACGATGGCGCTAACAAAAATTTAATGATAATTAACGATAAGCTTTAGTTGTATCTTGTCAAAATAAACAGCTTGGCACAAATTTAACTTAACAATGGCGATGATATTGATAAATACTGGTATAACTAGTCGTCCTTTCTCTTAGGATAGTTAAAAAGATGAACATTACAGTTCTGAAAACATGAGCCATTCCAGTTTCATGATTCCTATTACTTGTCATGAACATATCCATCCACCCCCAACGAATCAAGTGTTTCTCTCGCAGGACTAATATCCAACTTTCCAAGTGAGATTCGGAGGACATTTTTTTTTCGTGCAAACAATCAATTCGTTTCGCAGTTTATAATTTTGTTGTACTGATCCTTATTTTAAAATGGATAATAACTCGTGGTTCTGTTGCACCGAGAGCGAATTCCATAATTCCAACGAACCGATACTTTGAAGGTATCCGATCGATACTGAGTAATATCCACAGATTCAATGAATTTGAATGCATAAGATATACATGTATATTTATTGGCTAAATATTCAGCATATGGAGAAATAATCTTCAAGTTTTAGTCTCAATATATAAGAGCAGAATGTGTCCTAATTTTTTTTACCTTGACCCATCCTTGAAGAGTTATCCCCCTTTGCTTTAATTTAATCATGCAAGAAATTTCAATTTTTAAAAATTTATCTGGTGAATAAACATTTTTTAATCGTTTTTCTATTCTTAATAATTATATGCATCTTTCCAAATTAGCTTTTTCCCATAGACCTCAATGCATTCTTAATTAATAAATTACTGCTCAGGCAATTAAATTTTGGAAAAATATCCTCCTGGTAAATCCTTTTCTACTCTAAAATGCTTTGAATTAGTTTCAGAGTATTTGATATAGGATGGATATTTAAGGTTAGAAACTTATGTCCTTTTGTGGATTGGATACCTTAATAGCTGCACTCTGCAATTGCATTTAGGTATACCCTTATTATCTATTATGTGTTTATTATTTTTGTGAAGATTACTATGTTATAGTTTGATTATTGAGATGTGATTAGCCGCTCAAAAATAATAAAATGTTGCTATTAACAAAAACTTTGTTTTATCAGATGATAATCATCTGAATTTGTTGACACCACTTTATAATTAGGTCATGATTATATAAGAGTTGTTTCTATACATGAAATATCGTTACCACTAAAATGCATATCAGTGTCATCATCAAACATATCAATAATACGATGTTTAACAGACAATGATATTTTTATCAATATACAACAGAAACAACAAAGGGCCTAATATAGGGCCCTGTGGCACACCTGGTGAGACTTGCAGTGATTCAGATGTGTACGCACCAATTTGTACACTTTGCGTCGATCATATAAGTATGATTGAAACCATTTAATTGATATTGGATCGAAGTGATAGCATTGGAGTGTTCTGAT